ACATGAAGGGGCAGGATTAATCTAGATATATGATTATTGAAGCAGTTTAATTTCAAAGGAACACCATACAATACATCCACAAGCAGAAGTGTTTTGAGAGGCAGAGCCAGAAAGGGTTGCTACTCAACATGCTTTATTTTCATATCTGGTACTGAGGTTTCTTCATACTTATGTTTCTGAGAACACAATATCTTTGAAGATATCTGAAGGTTTTGTCATGAAATATAAATTCAAAAGATTATTGCTAAGATGGTCATAATGATAGGTAGATAGGGCTCAAGTGTTAAGAGCGCTTGTTGATCTTGCAGAGAACCCAGGTTCAGGACCCAGTACTACATGGAGTTTATAATCTCCACAACAGGGTATTCAAAACCCTCATCTGACCTCTACAGGTACCATGCATGTAGCATATATATACACACAAAGCAAAACACTTATTTTCAAAGAAAAGCAGCAGACCAAGAAAAGCCTGTTGTAGCTGGAGGGCTCATGCATCTCAACACGTGGTCCCTAACTGGTGGTGCTATTTTGGAAGGTTGTAGAACTTTCAGGAGATGGGAGTCTTGCTAGAGGAAGGGTGAGCCTCAGCATTTCACATCTTGACCCTGATTCCTGACTGCTGTCTGCATAACACAGACACAAGGTAACCAACTATCTCATGCTCCTGCCAGTCTTGGCTTCCGGGCGATAGCCGACTATATATCCCTTTTTAAAAACGAAACCCCTACCCACTTCACTGTTGTTGTTCTTATTTGGTCACAGCTATGAAAAAGTAATACAAAGTCAGGAGTCACAACAATAGTGGTAGAAGCATAAAAAGTCTCTAAATCATCACTTTAGTGCTCTTTTCACCACACCGCTAATTCTTGTGTAAAGCACATATGGCAACATGACCTTCAACATCCTTGACTTAGGATTGCTGTCCCAAACAGGACAACCCATAGCACTTTCTGGAATTCTTACATAGTGTCAGCCTTGCTGTCTTGAAAATGGCTCAGATGTAAAGAAATCATTCTAGATAACTAGGCATGCTAACACATGCCCACTCCTAACACCTGGGAGGCAGAGATGGGAGGATTGTGAGCTCTAGGCAGAGCCAGACACGGGGTTGTGTGCCTGTAAAGCCAAGGGTGCTGGAGAGATGGCTCAGAGGTTAAGAGCACTGGCTGTTCTTCCAGAGGTCCTGAGTTCAATCCCAGCAACTATATGGTGACTCACAGCCATCTATAATGAAATCTGGTGCCCTCTCATGCTATGTCAGAACATTGTATATACAATAAATGAATCTTAAAAAAAAAAAAAAAAAAAAGATGCAGAGGCAAGAGGATCAGAAAGTCATTCTAGACAACATGAGAACAAATTCTGGTCAGTCTGGATTACACAGCAAGAACCTCTCTCAATAAGATATTCTAGATAATCTTTAATGTTTTTTCTTTCTTTTATACCAAAAGTCAGGTACAGAAAAAAGCACAAGGAGCTAGAATATTTTAAAAGTATCTGTATGTAGTTTTATGATTTACAGAACAATGACTCCAAATTTTTTTTTTTTTAAATCTTGTTTCTTAAAGAAACCCATTCAAGTGTAAACTCACATAAAAGACCCTCCCATAGGTGGTGGTGCCACACACCTTTAGTCCCAGCACTCAGGAGTCAGAGGCAAGAGGATCTCTGTGAGTTTGAGGCCAGCATAGTCTACAAAGCAAGTTCCAGGATAGGCTCCAAAGTTACACAGAGAGAAAGCCTGTCTCAAAACAAACAAACAAACAAACAAACAAAAAACCAAAATCCAAACCAAACCAAACCAACAAACAAAAACTCAAAACTACAACAGAACATTCCAGACCAAATTGTTTCCCCTTAAAATGAAAGGCAGAAATGAAGGAAAGCACTCAGCTTTAAACACAAAAAAGACAAGGTGGGAAAAATCTGGTACTAAAATATTAAAGTAGGGCCAGCAAGATGACTCTGAGGATAAAGGTGGTTGCTGCCAAACCCCCCAAGATCTGAGTTTGATCCTTGGAATTCATATAAAGCTAGAAGGAGTTGTCCCCTGACCTCCATGTGTGAGAGGGTCCCCCAGACCCATACCATGCACACATATAATAACAATTAATTAAATATTATTAAAAACAAAACTAAAAAGCTGAGGCAGGAAAGTCATCCAACAATTAGCAGCCAGCTCTAGCTTACCATTAAATTCCCAGCTAGCATAGGATACAGAGTTAAGAGCACAGAGACACAGTGAGACCCTATCTCCCCGAGTTGGGGATAGCTCATGAGTTAAGACATTAGTTATGAGCACTTGTTCTTGCAGGGACATGGGTTTGATTCCCAGTGTCCACATGGCTGCTCACAATCTTTTCAAACTCAAATTCCATGGGATGTGATGCCCTCTCCTGATATCACGCACACACACACACACACACACACACACACACACACACCATTCATATACACAAATTTTAAAAATAGCAAAACAGAACCACAAATCATATATTTAAATAAATGAAAAGGTCTTCAAACATGCTAAAAGCAGTATTTATTCTTAGCTCATATTTTTTGATATTTAGCCATTTATTTTTCCATCTATTTATTTATTTTATTGTTTGAATGCTCTATTTGCATGTATGCCTGCAGAATAAAAGAGGGAATCAGACAGAAGATGACATCAAACCCCATTACCTGTGAGCCATTATGTGGATGCTGAGAACTGAACTCAGGATCTCTGGAAAAGCAGCCATATCTCTAGCCCAGACTCACCACCATGAAGAAAAGTAGAACATATAAACAGGGAATGATATATTTTTCAATATACTGAGGCATGGATCCCTCCTGAAGATTACTTAGTGGCCAACAGTTCCAGGGGACCCCATGCCCTCTTTTGGCCTTCATGGGCACTGTGTACATGTGGTATAAAGACACACATGCAGGCAAAATATTCATATAACTAAAATAAAATTAAAAAGATGCTGCTATTCATAAACTTTTGTCATTCTAACGCAATGTGTCTGCTCAGATTATTTAGCCACAGGCATCTTTTTATATTTTATCCAAGTTTATTTTGTGTGTACAGATATTTTGCCTGCACTATGTGTGTGCTTGGAGCCCAAGGAGGTCAAAATAGGACATGGGATTCCCTAGGACTGGAGCTATAGAAGGCTGTAAGCTGACTCAAACTCAGGTACTTGAGAAGAACAACCAATACTCTTAATTCTGAGTCATTTTCTCAGCCTTACATATTAAAAGTTATACATGTAATTTGTTATTTCCAGAATGTATACTGTAAATGCACATTGGGACATGTCTTTTTTTGCATTAGTGTCTATATCCTTTTTACCTGAAATACATTAGCACCTACGGAATGGAGAACTTTCAATAATTCTGAATGACAACAAAAATCCTATGAAAACAGACTGCTGTGAGAATGACCAGAACGAAATGTAGACTAACAAGTCAGTTCTATAATATCAGCAATAATCAGCTGTGTTACTATGGGTCTCTAAATGCAGAGTGAGGACTCTTCCACTGGGTACTGGTGCAGAGACAATGGGACTCTGACACGTACATTCTCCAACCACTGATGCTCTGATGAGTACTTGATTCTTTATGAAAGAACCCTTTTAGCACTCAAAGCAGCACTAACTGTAAGCAAGGATCTGAAATAACTGCTTAAGTGTCTTTTTGTTTAGGTTTGAGAAATTCCAAAACAGAAGAGTTTCTGTTCTCCAGGGCAAAAGGAACATACAAGAAGTCTTCATGGCACCCTTGGGCAGCAGTGGCTTATAGCAAGCCAGCTGCTTAGTGAAAGCCCCAAACAAGACTACATGAACATGTCCCTACTAACTGGGCCTATGAAGACTGTTCATACCAAGGGAAACAAGCATCAAGTAGGTGGCTGGGCAGTGAGGCAACCAGTGGGAGGAAGGAGTTGGCTGTACCTTAAGGTATTTAAAAAAAAAAAAAAAAAAAAAAAAAAGGAAGAACTTGAAAGTCACTATGCTAACATTAAGTCAATTTAAGAGTGGCAGATGTGGTAATGCACTTCTGCAATCCCAGTTATTGAAAACTGGAGGCAGGAAGATCAAGAATTCAAAGTCATCATTAGCTACATAACAAGTTTGAGGCCAGTATGGGCCACATGAGACCATGTTTAAAAAATCAAGACCAAGCAATTTGTGTGGTGGATGCTATTAGTTCCAGTAGAAGCAGAGGCAGGTGCATTGCTATGCGTTCAAGGGAGATGGTTCAGTGGTTAAGAACAATGGCTGTTCTTCCAAGGGCCCAGTTTGAAATCCCAGCAACCACTTGGATGTTCCAAACTGTTTACCTGGAGTTATACACACCAATAAACATTTTAAAAAGACAAGAAAATGCTGGGGTGGTGGTGGCACATGTGTTTAATCCTAGCACTCAGGAGGCAGAGGCAGGTGGATCTCTATGAGTTTGAAGCTAGCCTGGTCTACAAAGTGAGTTCCAGGACAGGCTCCAAATTCACAAAAAGAAACCCTGTCTTGAAAAACAAACAAAGTCAAGAAATAAAACAAGTGACTGTTCTCCATTCCCTCAATTTCCTCAGCTGCCCTTTTAGTACTATTTTCTGTTAAAGTCTGACTGAAAATTCTACCTGTACTATAAATCCCCATAAAACTTATGGGAAGATACAGAGTACAGACATAGTTTAAATGACACAGCAAACATTTATTAAATGGCTGTTTACCAGCTATAAAAGGAAATAGTCTAAAAAGCTGACACTCTGAGCTAAGGATGTATTCAGGGCTAGAGAATTTGCCTACTTGCAATCGTCAAAACTACAACAAACAAATCATCTCTAGGAATGGTCAAGTGTGCTACTTCCCTTTCTGTGGGTATTGCCAAGAGGATGCAGACACCAAATACTCTTATAAGTGCCTGGCAATGTTTCTATTTTTGCTTGGCAATATTTCCAACAGTAAACCTCTACTGGCTCCTTTGCAAAAGCAATTGGGAACGGATGGACTTACCATCTTCTGTTTCCTGCCACACAATGCCTTCAAGGTTGACACTGGTTCCAGGTTCACAGGGGCCTAAGCACTCAGGCTCTGTGGCTAGAGCCACATCACAAGTGTTGACTCCAACTGATCGGGTACGGACCATGATCTGTTCACAGGGAGATGAGATGTCATTATTGACCACTGGCACTAAAAGGTGCAGTGGCAGCACCGCCGGGGTAGAGACAGGGGACTCCATCTGTGAGAAAAGAGAAAGTACTAGCTGAGATACAGGAAGAGCATTAGAGGACATACTATTTTCCATACTTAATCTATTCTCACATCTTTTGCTGCCAATAATCCTAAAAGGTTTGATATACGTTTAGGAGAAAACCTACAAATTATAAGAGGGCCAAGAGAAATCTGATGGGGATTTCTGAACCTCAAAGTAGCAGCAGTTGGTTAATGAGGATAGCATCTTTGAGTAGGACACTAACATCAAATTTGTCTGTAGAACATGGAGGTGCTACTATCATGCAGAAGCCAGCTCATACCAGTGTGAAGATACAATTGATTATGCACACATAAAACAGCTGAACACTAGTAATCTATTTGTATGACTGTGCGTGTGCATGCGCATGTGCGTGCACGTGCGTTTTGCCCACAGGGGCTAGAAGAGGGTCAGATCTCCTGGAACTGGAGTTATAGATGGTTATGAGTTACCATGTGGCTGCTGGGAACCAAGCTCAAGACCTCTGTAAGAGCAGTGAGTGCTCTTAATTGCTGGGCTATCTCTTTATCCTCTTTAATATTATTTTTTTCCCTCAGAGCTTCAGACTAAACCCAGGGCCTTCTGATTGCTAGGTATGAGCTTTACTAGTGAGTAAATTCTAAATCACTCTCTTACTTTATTTTTAAGTATGTGTGTGAGTTTGTTTGTGAGTGCCCTTGGAGGACAGAAGAGGGTCTCAGATTCTCCTGGAACTAGTTATTGGTACTGAATCTGTTCTGGGCACCTAAGTCTAACTCTCTGTAAGAGCAGCATGCACTCTTAACTATTGCGCCATCTGTGTCCAGGCCCTCTTTACTGTTTGAGCCTGGTCTATACAGAAAGAGTTCCAGGACAGCCAGGGCTACTAGAAGAAACCCTGTGTTGAAAAATAAAACAAAAAAGTATTTAATATACACATGAACTGATTCCCTCTGAACACATGACATTAATCAGCAAGGCTAGAAAATGAGTTATAGATTTGGTTCTTTTGGTTCTTTTCCCTTATGAAAGACTTTCAGCTGGCTTAAGTCTGGTGATGAACCCTAGTCAACCCTAATTAGATGAGACTAACAAGAAAGCTGAATATGGTCTTTGAATAGAGACCTTCAGAGAGTCATACACATCCCACAATACAAGTTGCTAGACAGCTCTGATGAACTCTGGCTTGGGGATGTTAGTACACAATCATCTCTCTGCCTATAAACTACTTCTCTTCCCTCCACACACCTTTCTAGACTTTGTAGCTGGCTCTGATTTCTTAGTTTAGAAAGTTAACGCTACTACAGATTAACACTTTCAGAGTTCAAAGAATGTTCATACATTGATTCTTTGACTAATTCTGGTCCCTGGAGAGCTGCCAAAAAAAGAAAAAAAAGAAAGAAAGAAAGAAAAAAAAAAAGCTATCATATCTTTCCATTCACCACACACCCCAACACTTCTTTTTCATAAAATGAAAGTGCAAGTTGCATGATGAGTCTTCTGCTGCGCTCTCTCGAAAAATCACAAATTTGTAATTTCTTTTTATGATGTGGTAGGTCCTTGAAAGACCCTTTAAACTTTCCACACAAGCCAGGCATGCTGATGTATGCCTATAATTAATTGCAGTACTCTGGAGGTGGAGGCAGGCAGATCTCTGTAAGTTCCAGGCTAGTCAGGGCTGCACAATGAGACTTTATGCCAATTAAAAAAAACAACAGCAAGCCAGGCAGTGATGGCACTTGCCTTTAATACCAGCACTAGGGAGGCAGAGGCACGAGAATCTATGTGAGTTTGAGGACAGCCTGGTCTACAGAAAAAGTTCTAGGACAGGCTCCAAAGCTACAGAGAGAAACCCTGTTTCAAAAAACCAAAACCAAACAAAAAAAAAGTGACAACAAACTCCATACACATGGGTTTGGGACATGGCTCAGTGGGTATAGTGCAAACATGAGGACCTGAGTTCAACTCCTTAGCACACAGAAAAGGCTGGGTGTGGTGGTGTGTATCTTAACTCCAGCAATGAGAAGTGGAGAGAGATGAGTTCTAAGGGCTTGCTGCTGGTCAGCCATGCTAGTCAAAATGGCACACTGTGGGTTCAATTAGAGGAGATAGAGATAGATAGACAGACAGATAGATAGATAGAAAGAACACAATACAGGAGGGCATCATATATTGACCTCTGGTCTTACACATGTGTGTGCATGCATGCATACATGTGTGTGCACGTGCACACACACACACACACACACACACACACACACACACACTTACCCCTTTCTCTCTCTTACATACCTTCCATAAGTTTGAAGGTAAAAACACAGAAAATGCAAACTGGAATATTTCTACTATGGTTTTACAGTGCTGGAATTTGACTATAGCCATTAACCTCTTTTAGAAACATGGTTGAAAGAAAGAAAGAAAGAAAGAAAGAAAGGAAGGAAGAAAGAAAGGAAGGACACCTTTGAGAGGCATTATTAGAAGTCAGAGACAGAATAAACAGACCATATTCACTCTAGCTACTTCTGTGTCTCTGTTCTTTTCATTGTGTTTTTTTTTTTTTTTTTCCCGAGACAAGGTTTTTCAGTAGCTATGGAGTCAGTCCTGGAACTTGAACTGTAGACCAGGCTAACCTAGAATTCACACAGATCTGCCTGACTCTGTCTTCTGAGTGCTGGGGTTAAACGCATAAGCCACTACTAAAGGCACCTCTGTTCTATTTATGAGAAAGTCTGGGCTACAAAAGAATTTGTAGTAAACCTTGTCTCAACACATTCCCCATCCCAAAGAAAGTCAAACAAACCAACAAACCTCCCCAAAACAAAACAAAACAAAAAAAAAAAAAAACTTTTCTGTGAGCTTGCAGACAGTCTTGCTTGCACATTTTGTTGACCATACATTCCACAGCGGAGGCAGTATTATCAGGCACATGAAGTCACCAGAAAGACATCTACCCTTTGCTCTCTCCTATCCTAGAAAGAAACCCTCGTATGCTCTAGATTTGCCCTGAGAAATACAGAGAACACCGAATGTAAGATGGAAATGCCACTGCTGCTTTGGAATGGTATATCATATGAAATGTTGCTATTGAATACCTCAACAAAAATGTTAGCTGAACTGCCGTACCTCAGGGTTTTTTTGCTTGTTCATCCTATTTTATTCATGTAACAGCACTGGCTGTCCTGGAATCAATTTGTAGATCAGCCTGGCCTCAAACAGCCTGCCTCTGCCTCCTAAGTGCTGAGATTAAAGGTATATACCATAACAACAACAATAATAATAAATTATTATTTTTTATTTTATTCTTTTGGTGGTATGAGATAAAGTCTTACTCTAGTCCAGGCTGTCACAGCTTTTGCTGTGTAATCCAGGCTGGCCTTGAATTTATCATAATCCACCTGCCTAATTTCCCACTCTCTACAGTGCTAGAAATACATGCATGAGCCACCACACTCAGTTTCTGAAGACTTTTATTTCTGAGAATTCTAGTCTTGAAATGAATTTGCAGCAGATGATCTTGAACTTCTGGTCCTCCTGCCTCTATTGCCTACATTATGTGCCACCGTGCCTTGTTTTATACAGTACTGGGGATTGAACCAGTGCCTCCTGCATACCAGATATCCACTCCACTGATTGAGCTACATCTCCAGCTATTGCACCTCAGGATTTCATTAACACATATACACCAAAACCACCCTTAGAGCTCAGTTACTAAGAAGAGCTCTGAGTCTCTAGATGAAGATGACTTTACTTCATTATTCATTTAATTAGAAGGTAAGTTTGAAGATGGGAAAGCAAAGAAATTCAACTGTGGCTTTACAACTCTTCCTTTCCAACAGAAATCAAAAGAACGATCACAGAGAATCACAGTGTTTAATAATAATACCAGCTCTGTTAATTATTATTTGGATGCATTTAGATATACATTAAGCCATAACACATTATAAGTGGCATTGTGATATGCATCTAATAAGCAAGGTGTCTCTAGGCAGTGGTGGTGCATCCTTTTAATCCAAGCATTAGAAGGTAGAGAGGCAGGCAGATCTCTATGAGTACGAGGTCAGCCTGGTCTACAGAGCAAGTCCCAGGACTCCTAGGACTACACAGAGAAACCCTGTCTCGAAAAACAAAAACAATCTAGATGGCTTGACAACATCTCATATTTGACTACTTTCTGGAATAAACATTGTTTCATTTACCAATCTGCAAGAGAAAATAAAAATCAGGAAATTACTTATTTGCTATCTTTTTTTATATATCTAGGACCCCAAAACAAAGATTGTCAAGAGATAGGCAACAACAGGGGAAATAAGGAGTAGGGATGTAAAAAGTTGTGTCATCAATGTCTCAATAACTACAACACAAGTTGGCCAATTATTAGTCTCTGAAGTGCTAGGGCATGTTTCCATGTCTCCTTGGGCTCCAGCTAAATGACTAGGTGAACAACGAAACAACCAAAAGTCTGAGAAAAGAAAGACTAAGAATTTCAAGAACAAATCTGAAGTTTGTATCTTTTGGTGATATTCCTTTTTAGTTCACCTTTCCATATTACCATTAAGGTATTCGATAGCATCTATTAAGGTTCCTGGGTACTGACAGGCAAGTGGCACAGTGACAGGGGCATAAAGGATAACATAGGAAGGCCAAAGTCATTATCTCCCCATAAAGAGTAATTATACACTGACTTCAACTAATTTCCACAGGAGAGGCATGGGTGAAGAAAATTGGTCAAAGCCGCATATAGTTTTGGGGTAGAAAATGTTCTAAAGAAATATTTGAGATGGACTTTCTTCTTTTTCCCCATTCACAATGTGACTCTCATTTTTATGCTCATTAAAAATCAGAAAGGGGCCTAGTGGTTAAAAGCATGTATTGTTCTTGTAGAGGACCTAAGTTTAGTTCCCAGTACCCACATCTAGGGGCTTACAACTGCCTTTAACTCCAGCTTCAAGGACTCTGATGTCCAGCCCTATACAGACATTCACACAAACATACACATAATTGAAGATTAA